ATATATATATATATATATATATATATGTATATTATATATTGTGTATATATATATATATATATATATATATATATATATATATATGTATATTATATATTGTGTATATATATATATATATATATATATATATATATATATATATATATATATATATATATAATATACATATATATATACACAATATATAATATACATATATATATATATATATATATATATATATATATATATATATATATATATATATATATATATATATATATATATATATATATATATATATGTATGTATGTATATATACGGCTCTGGGTCTAAATGCAACATTGGTAAAGAAGAAGGCGTGAACTTCCGCGGTGCTCTGTGATAAGACCGTAATGATTTCTAAAAGCATCTTAATAAACACACAAAAAAAAAGCACCCTAAAAATAATCAAAACTCATTTAAAGTAAAGTGATTTATTCAATTTTGATAACATTTTTGGTTATCAAAATTGAATAAATTTTCTAAAAAATTTACAAAGAAAATCACGAAAACTTCTTTCATAGAACAGTGGTTCTATTTTTTCTTATATGACAAAAATCTAAAATTAAAATAATTTACACTTATGTTACTAAAAAATCTTCAAGTGGCTCTCAGGACTGACGTCACGGGGTGAGGGGCGCTAGGGGCTTCTTTTTTTTTTTTTTCAAAATTCTTGATTTAGAAGACTTTTTTAAGAATTGAGGGTTGTGCCCCCTTCCCTTACTTTGAAACCCATGTCGTTGGCCCTGGCTCTTACTTGTCTGTTAAACGACATTTATGTGAGATTATAACCTTTTAATAATCGTCAAAAATTTTTTAAATAAACCTCAAAAACCCTGCTCATGTGCTTCAGAACTTTTTTTTAATTTACTTTTTTGCATATTAGGGTTGAGCTTTTACCGACTTTTAAACTTACCGGTAAATCGAGAGAAAAAGGCATAAGTTTAAAATTGGTAAAAAATAAAAAAAATCATAAAAACTCATATCGAATTTTTTTTTGTTTCAAAATGAAGTCTTTATAGGATTTATATTTAATATTTTTTTTGATAAATTTTATATTGATAAAAAATGAGCTTTGATGAAACAAAGTGAATCAAGTAAACCGTCAATCATTCCGGATCGATTTTTTAACAGAAAAAGAAAAGCTATGCTCAGACTCAATACTTGTTGGCGAGGTAAATTCCAGTGCATAGAAGTATTTCTAGTAAAAACATTTAATTTAAATGGCTTCGAAAATAATAAAATTAAAAATTTTAAGATTTTTTGATTTTTGTCAAGATTTTATGCGCCACACATTTCTTGAATGAATTCTAAGTCATCTAATTTTTTTTGAAAAAACCGTCAATTATAACTAACAGTAGGTTTTGACAGTCAATTATAACTGACAGGTTTTGACCGTCAATTATAACTGACAGTAGGTTTGACAGGTGGTCTTTTGAAGTACAGACTTTGATGACATTTTAAAAACTTTATGCTCTTCAATGCCGGATAAACATTTTGGATTGGAAAATTAACTTTACAAGCTTACAAGATTTTCTATTTCAAACGTCTCAAAATTCTGCTCATCATTGCAATACAAAAAGTTGAATCTTCTTGTTTCAATCTGTTCATGAGAAACTTGAAAATTCCCTCAGCTGTAAAAACAGTTGCGTCCTATTGGCAAAGGGCTTCTGCTGCCGATTTTACTGGTTCAAGTACGGTAACAATGTCGTATAAAATGTTTATTTTATCAATAAGGCGGATAAACGTTTTTCAATACTTTTCTGATTGAATCTTTAACTTTCAGAAACTGTTGAATTATTGTGAGTAGACTTTTCCTTCTTGTTATGCAGTAAAGGTTAAGCGAAACTTCTTTTCTCTACTGTTTCTTGATTTATTCTTGGAGGACGCCATTTTTTACTTAAGATATTTAAAATAACTTGACAATTTTTCTGAATTTTGTGATGACAAATTGCAAGTGCACTTTCACGTTTGGAATGAGCGAATGATTTGATTGCTGGCGCCAGTGCTCCATCCAAATTCCAAACTCTGCAACTACACTCTAAAAACAGTCCGTTAAAAAAAGTAACGGACTGCGCTTTTTCGTTAAATTAACGGATTAATTCGTTACCATAAACCAGAAAATTAACGGAGTAAAATTAACTATTTACGGATTCTTTGAAACTTAATTCAACGGATTAAATATTCTAATCGGTCAAAAAAAAATTTTCAGTATATTATAGCTTTTTATTTTGAAAATGATAAAGTTTTGAATGCGTTTTTCTCACACTTACATTTACATCGTAGATAAAAGTTGGTTGTAGTAAGTGTAATATGCCATTTTTTAAAAAGCTTTACAGTTAGTAGACAACCAAATAGATAAATATAATTTAAATTACGCTCTGTTATTTGTAATTTCGAAGGTTATTTAGATTATTTTAAATTTTCTATATAAAGCTTTATATAGAAAATTTAATTTTATTTTGTTTTAAATTAAAATCCATTAGTATTACTAAATAATATATAATAACATATATGGTAAGTTAATACATATCATATATGGTAAGTTACTACATGTCTAAATATAGAAAATTATGCAAGAATATATATATATATATATATATATATATATATATATATATATATATATATATATATATATATATATATATATATATATATATTTCTGAAATATTTGGTCTTACATTTCAAGGTTGTTTACAAATAGTATAAACTACTAACTTCACGTAAACACCTAATGATAACGATTAAAATAGTAATAATAATAAAGATAATATTTATAATAATAATAATAATAAATAATAATAATAACATTTTATTTTAACAATAGTAATAATAATATACTAATTAAAATAATTTAAATAAATCAGTAATATTTTCCATACAACAATCGTTATTACATACAAAGTTACAGTTACAAACAGTAATTAACTGACAAAACGTAACAACTAACGATGACATAAAAACAACCGCTGCTAAAAAAAATTATACAGATTTATAAAATATATTTTTCTTATAATATAATAACCGAAATATATTGCAAATAATATGACAAAGCAAATAAATAGAATGCAAAAAACTAAAATACTTAGAAAATCAAAGCAAAACAAAAGTTACAACAAACATTACAAGCAAAACAAAAATTTACGTTAAGTTCATTTGGCAATAATACAAAAAACAACATCAACAACTACAAAAAAAGAACAACATAAATTAGAAATAATAAAGAAAGAAAGAAAAAAAAAATTAATAATAATACACGGTAGAATAAAACATTTATAACAAATGCTCAAAACGAAAATAAAAACAAAAAATATATAACACTATAAAAAATTAGATATCACTATTTAAAAATAATTAAATAACTAAAAAATAAAACAATAAATGACTAACAAAAAATAATAAGTAAATTTTTATACGCTAAAAAACTAAAGAAAAATCATTACTACAAGACCGCTTAAATAAAAAATGAAATCGTAAACAAAGAATCCTAAAAAAATATGAAAGAAAACTAAAGAAATATATGAAATAAAACAAAAGAAATATATAAAAAAATAAAAAAATCTTCATTTTCCGATCTTTTTTCGATGCATATAGTTTTTTTTTTCCTTTTTTTCCATTCTTTTTATTTATTTCATTCATTAACTTTTTCTCTTAACTTCTATTTTCTATACTTCTTTATTTATTTTCTTTCAGATGATCTTTTCTTGTTTTAAAATATTTATTTTTAGCTGATTTTATTATTGGCTTAACTTATAAATGTTTTCTTTTCTTTCTTTTTTCCTCTCTAAAAAAGTTGTTTTTATCCGTTTGAAAAAAGCGTCCGCCATTTGCAATGTCATTGCAAAGTATATATATGCAATCCATATAGTCTATATTATAGAAATAAAAGTTCAACTAACCCTTTACTAGTAGTAAAGGGTTAGTTGAACAATTATTTCTATAATATAGACTAAATGGATAATTTATGGTCTTTTTTAACTTTATATTTTAGACATATGACATGTAGTAACATACCATATTAGTTTAAATCAGTTGTAAAATTAAAAATGTTAACATCTTTGATAGGTATATTTATTTAGGTTAGTTACAGCTAAGTTTACATGGCTAGTTAATATGCTTTTATAAATTGCAATTTTTATTAATTTCCAAATTAAACATGTAGCATCCAATATCATAAACTAAGTTTATACTGGTGTGTTTATATTATTTTAGAATTTTTTGTTTTAGACACATGGCATTTGCTATCCCACTGTAAGTTAAAACCAGTTGTAAAATTAAAAAATTTTTATTGGAACTTCTATTTCTTTTAACATTCATGTTTATTTAATTGAGTTACAACTAAGGTTATACATGAGTTATTTATACTATCTTAGAATATGCTGCTTTAGAGGCACGGCATTTAGTGTCACGTTGTAGGTTTAAATTGGTTGTAGAATTTATATTGTAACTTGCATATTTATTTAGTTGAGTTTAATCTATGTTTATATTTGATGTATTTGTATTATTTTAGAATTTACTGTTTTAGACACGTGACATGTGGTATCCCACTATAAGTTTGAATTAGTAAATTTAAAAAAAATTATATTTTAACTTGCATTTCTTTTGACGTTCATGTTTATATAATTAGATTACAACTAAGTTTGTGTATGGCTTGTTTATATTATTTCAGAATTTGCTATTTTAGACACTTGGTATAAGCTGTTATACTGTAAGTTTAAATTGGTTGTAAAATTTATATTGTAACTTGCATTTCTACGGGCGTGTATATTTATTTAGTTGAGTTTCAACTATTAATAATAATAATAATAAGTTTATATCTAGCGTGTTTATATTATTTTAGAATTTGCTGTTTTAGACACGTGACATGTGGTATCCCACTATAAGTTTGTATTAGTAAATTTAAAAAAATTGTATTTTAACTTGCATTTCTTTTGGCATGCATATTTATTTAGTTTAGTTAAGACTAAGTTTATATCACACTTTTTTAACTATTTATTCTACTATATTCTATATTCACTATTATTTTAGAATTAGCTATTTTAAACATGTGCCAAGTGGTATGACATTGTAAGTTTAAATAAGTTGTAAAATTAATTTTTTTATATAGTTGCTTGCGTTTTTTTTGGTCTGCATATTTAATCTTGTTTTGATAGTTTTTAAAAGGTTAGAGACCTTATTTTTTGATCCTAATAGGTATTGATGTATGTGAAATGTATAGAGTCTTTCAGTTATCAGATAATGTCAAGGTAATCTTATACTTTTTTTTTAATTTACATTTTAATAAAGATATAATTTACTTGTTCCATTTAACTTTATCTTTAGAAAACGATATCAGAAATAATTAAAATAACAAAATTTAGAATAGAAATTTATAAATAATGCATTACGAAAAACATTTTCTATAGTGTTATCAGTAACATTTTATTTTGGTTTTATACTAGGTATGTTATTAAGTTTCCATATTTTCCTTATTTTATTTTATATTAATCTTTAAGGAGTTGACAGCATGGTGTCCGATTTAAAGTGCGAACCTGTGTACGAGTAACAACAGTATTCAAAACCAAAACCTATTTAAACCAACCAAACCAAAACTAGCGACCCAAAACTAATATCTTGGCATTGATTTATTTTAAACATCTATTATATATGTGTGTGTTTTATATAAATGTACTAGCTTGAGTATAGTGTATTGAAAATATTTTTTTTAACTATTTTTATTGTAATTTAAAGTACACAGGATTAAATATTATAAATATTTGATTGGTTTTCAATTTTTGGTTAAAACGTTTTAATGTAGAATATCGAAATAAAATAATGCAATTAAATTTTAGGATTATTTGGTTATGAAGTCACAATTCTGGCCTCTCTAATTTTAGATTTTAGTGATTTTAACGAAATAATCACTAAAATAACTTATTAATACATTTATTTCATAGGAATAACAACCGCGGAAAATTTGCTGCCTAATGTAATAACTCCTAAATTTTAACGGATTATTCGTTGCACTAACGAAATAAATCCGTAATTTCAACGGACTATTCCTAACGGAGTTCAATTTGTTAAAATTTTAATTCGTTAACTTAACGGATTTCCCGTTAGTGCAATAGCGACAGATATAATTCGTTGTATATAACGGATTTTTTCTTAGAGTGTATAACTACCGGTAAATTTTTGGTAAAAGCTCAACCCAATCGTATACATTGTATTTGTCAACTTTTTTTCGCATGCGTTGCATTAGTCATCTTTTTTTTGTATAGATTATAATTCTCAACTTTTTTTGGCACACATTGTATTTCTCAATTTATACAGCAAATGTTATATTTATCCAACAATTTTTTTTTTTTTAATTAGTTATTTAGGTGCCCCAAAGAAGTCCTAACGGTCTTGTCACAGAGTACCGCATTTAACCAGGAAGTTCACGCCTCCTTCCTTACCATGACACGAAATATGTCCAAAGCTCGTTTCAAATCTGGATCTCCTGCTTATAAAGCAAGCACTCTAACCACTACGCCACGGCCGCACATTTTTATATTTTTTAGAAACAGCTGTTTGTGGTTAAATTAATAATAAAGCCTTATATATTGTTGCATAGCGTTTTATATTATGATAATTGTTTGAGAATTTTATTTAAATGTGAAAATAACTAGATTTTAATGAAAACATAAATTATTAAAAATCATTAATAATAATTAACATAATTTGTTAAAAAGTATTATTGCGTAAAAAAATGTTGCGCTATTTTCGAAATTTTGTAACAATAATTTTTACCTCCAAAAATGCAATTCTAATCCACTACACAGCTCATTGCATTTTAAGCAAGGACTTCCACTACCTTGATCATGCGTCAAACATTTCTATAAAAAATAATACCACAAAGAACAGATTAAGTGTTTACAATGAAATAGATTTGGTAAATTTAAAATTAAATAGACTTTAATAAATTTCATAGTGTCAGAAATCTTAATTACAGTGAAATGTACTAAAAATTGTTTTTTTACATAAATAATTTTTTAACATAAATAATTTTTTACATAAAAAAGTTTTTAAAAATAATTTCAATCTAAAGCACTGTTAAATAAAAAAACCACTTTGATGAACATAAAAAAATAACACTGCTGCAAATTTGGACTGGAAAACATTCAAATTGGCCGGTAAATGGTAAAGTTAGTAAATCATTATCAATTATTATTTAAAATAAGAAAAAAGTGTTATGGTAAAAAACTTTTTCGTTTTTCTATATTTTTCTTATAATTTTAGAAAGTTGCAAAAGTTATGCAACTTAACTCTATTCATACAAAGTTTTTTTTAATCTTATATTTGCCGTAAATGTAACATATACAAGTTTCGTAAATTAAAGGTGTAATATTTACAAGTCTCGTGAGTCAAAATATATAATGAAATTTATAATTAAATAGTACGGGCCGGACTTCAAGAAGATCGTTATGATCTTATCACGAAGCCCTTACAGTATTACTGGTATATATATCATGATTATGTTAAATATAATTATATCTTAAGTACAACTCTTTTTTTATAGTCTTTAAATTAAAATAAATTCATACTAAAAAATAAACTCAAAAAAAGCTCATGATAAAAAATTAAACATAGCAAGCAGCATAATAACTAAAATTGATAAGAAAAAAATCAAGTGTTTTTTTTTTTGTGTGTAATAAACAACTTTTTGATATATTGTTTGAGAAAGGTAAGAGTCATTTAGTTAGTACCGAAGCAAAATCAAGTTTACTTCAAACGATGCTTTAGCCAAGCAAACATAATGTCGTTTAATGAGCAGCTATCCTTATTATACTGGAAACATATAAAATTTTTTATCTGAAGCAAATCTAGTTTATAACTCGTTCTTTAAAACATTTTTTGAAGTTTATGACGCAAACTTTTCTTTATGCGAAGTAAGTCAAAAAAAAAAAAAAAAGCATTAAGTCATGGATTACCAAAGAACTTAGAAAATTCTCCAAAGTTAAACAAAAATTGTATATTAAGTATCTAAAGTCGAAAAGCGATAAAAATAAGGCGATTTATAAAAATCACGTTAAAAATTTTGAAAGTCAAAGAAAAAACTTAAAAAAAAAATACTACTCAAACCTACTAGAGAAGTTTAAACATAACTCTAAGCGCACGTGGCAAGTTTTTAATGAAATCACTGGCAACCATAAGATTAAAACATGCAACTTACCAAAAGTTGCATGTTTTAATCTTTATGATTTCATATATAATCCAGAAGATATAGCAAATCAGATAAATAACTATTTTGTATCTGTTGGTCCTAATCTAGCAAAAAAAATTCCTGTTGTAATTAACAAAACAAATTATTTTACCCTTCCCAAAATTTTTGTACTTAATAATTTTGAAATTTCAATAAAAGAATTTGAATGTGCTTATAAAATGCTAAAAACAAATAAAGCGAGAGGTCAGGACGAAATAAATAGTAACATTATTATTGGATCTTACGAGATCATAAAAACTATACTCTTCAAAGTGTTTAGTTACTCAATCAAACAAGAAATATTTCCTGACCAACTAATGATCGCCAAAGTTACACCAATATATAAAGATGGTGAATTATCTCTGGCTTTTCAAAGGTTTTTGAAAGGATTCTTTACAACAAAATAAATGAACATCTTTCTAAAAATAAAATATTAATTATGCCAATCAATATGGTTTAAAAAATAATAATTTCGCGGAATACGCCATACTTCATGTAACTAGTAATATTGCAGATTCTTTTGAGAAATCACAATTTACTCTTGGAGTTTTCATTGATCTATCAAATGCCTTTGATACAATAGATCATGAGATTCTTAAAAAAAACTTCACAAAAACTTAAAAACTATGGAATTAGCGGAAATTCATTAAATTAATAATAAATTATCTAAGCAATTGTAAGCAGTTTGTGCAAATTGACGTATCCTCCTAAAAAGGTTTACTAGATATAACATGTGGTGTTCCTTAAGGGTCTATAATAGAGCCAATGCTTTTTCTCATTTATGTTAATGATCTGCACAATGCCTCAAATTTGAAGACGGCAATGTTTGCTGATGATACAAATCTTTTTCCGGTAAAAGTATTATTACTCTATTTAATGAAATCAACATTGAACTAATTAAAATTTCAAATTGGTTTAAGTCAAATAAACTATCAATTAACTTGGAAAAAACTAAATGGACATTATTTCATTCAAAATCCCCAAAAAAAAACATTTACCAAATGATATGCCTCAAATATATATTGACAATGTTCAAATAAAAAAATCAAAAGTTATACATTTCCTTGGTGTTTTCATTTATGAAAATCTAACATGGAAAAACCATATCGAAACTTTGCGCAATAAAGTTTCGAAAAAATATTGGAGACATTCATTAATTCAACTTTATTACTCGCTAATTCAATGCCATATAAACTATGCAAATATCGCATGGGGTAGTGCTAAAAAAATTCAATTAGATCCTCCATATCAGAAGCATAAATAAATAAATAATAAAGAATAAACTTTAAAGATCATTATACTCATGCCAGACTTCTTTTATTGGAAATGAATGTTCTTAATATATACCAGCAAAATGTTTCTAATGTTCTTTTATTCATCTACAAATGTAAGATAAACCTAAACCCTATATCCCTTCAAAATTTATATGCAATAAAGCAAAAAAACAAATATGACTGAAAAAATGGCAATCTTATTCATCAACATTATTCTCATACAAGTTTTGGAAAATCTCTTTTAACATAGTTTTGAAAATTTTTGTATTTTCAAAGTTGGAGTTTTCTTACTTTTATAATTAAGCTGAAAAAAGTTATCTTGTCAATTGGTAATGTCTTTGAGTTCTTTTGAGCTTATACCTTTTAAAAAAGTGTGTGATTCCTGAATTTATTGTTTTTTTTTGAAATATTTAGTTTTATATATATTCTTTATGTTGTTAAACGTTATTTATGTTTTGAAATATCTGGTTAGATTTAAATTTTATTTCTAAACGTCATTTATTGTAATTATTTAACTGATTATATTTTTACTGCATTGTTAAACGGCTCTCAGTGACAGGATCTTACGATCTTCTTTGGGTTTCCGTGTTCTGATATTTAATGTACAACGATATTTATGCCATAATATATTGTAATAAGAACACACACACACAAAAAAAAAAATTTAGGTAATACACATAAACGAGTTGCGCCTTAATAGTGTGACACACATTTAAATTGATGTTATTTTTAATGGGATTACTCAAATTTGTCAAAACATTTTTACTTTTCATTTTATACTATACCAGACCATTTCCAACATTAACGCGTGATTGAAGGAGTTTTTATTCCTGTCTTGTCGACGACATCCTTAAACGTGACCTTTTCGACAGACTCCATTCTGCAAGACTACAATTGTTTATAACCAAGTTTTACATTAATTTAATTATATTTTTTTATGTATTAGTATGTTCATTATTGTTTTTTTTTCTTTTTTTTTAGAAGAAATAATAAAATAAACAAAAATTAAACAGACTATAATGTGATATATTTTTGCAAATGCAAAAGCCAATATTCTCAACGTAGATAAAAAGCGTGACAAAAATTCTCATATTGAAAGCAATTGTTTTGCTAAATTCAATGAAAAATAAAGTATATATTATATATTTGCTGCATATATATGTATACATCCGTTATATCATTTCCGCAGTAGATATAAATTTCGACAGCCTCCGACTTGTTGCTATTATAATGCGAATCGGATAAAAAAATTACATTTACTTACACAATTAGTCTATAACAAGTATGTTTTAAGTTTATATATATTTCAAAAATGACAATGTAAAGATATATAATGATTTCTGAGACAGCGATACCAACAGTTATACAACAGCGATAACAAAAAAGATGATGAGACTGCAAGACTACCTAAAAATTCAAATCAAAATTTTGACTAGACACAAAGTTACTCCCACGCTAAAGAAAATTCAAATTTCATGATATTGCTCATGCTTAATCAATCTATATATAAATAGAGTTCCAAAAATATTTGTAGCTTTAAAATCTGTGTTAAAAACCAGTACGATTAGAAGGTGTTGTGTCTGTCATTATTTACTCATAGAAAAGATTTTAATGATCAGAATTACAGACTAAAATGTTATAATTTGAGTTGCTTCAAGATTGTGCAAAATTTCAGCTTAAATCAATTTTTTATCTTTTTTGCTTTTTGTGACAATATACCCTGATCTCAACATACTAATACCGCAGTATTGTGTATGTTGCTATATAGCCCTAAAAAATTTTTTAATGTTAACAATTATTTTCTAAAATGTTTAAAATTAGGTTGCTTTAAAACAATACAAGATTTCAGTTTTAATTGGTGTATCTTTCAAAATATTTAGACTTTGTGCCCCAAGAGCACAACCCAGTATAAAATAGACTTTCACAACCCAGGATAAAATAGACTTTCACAACTCAGTATAAAATAGACCTTAACGACCCAGTATGACAAAGGTAATATCTTGTAAATTTTTCTGTTTTGCAAGGTTAAGAATACAATAATAATTTTTTTAAAGGAAAGCTAAGTTTTCAAAAATGTTTAAATTCTACAATATTATATTTTCTCAATTCTCTACCTCATTGAGAATATAAAGTTTTCTAAATTCAAGCTCTAGTTCATTAAGAATATAAAGTTCTCTAAACTCAAGCTTTAGCTCATTAAGGGGATAAGGTTCGCTAAACGATTTTTGCCACGAGCAGTACTGTTAACGTCAAACAAAATCCTGCATGCATGTTTTTGTTTGCTACAAACAATTTTTAGTCTTCCATAATTGGTACTTCCTCATACAATGTTGTATTAGAAAAGATAAATATAGTTAAATGAAAAGTAAATGAAGTGAATGTAAAAAATAAATAAAAACTAATAATAATAATAAATAAAAACTTCAAAAATAGTTTTTTTTTTTTAATGTTAGACTAAAAACCAAAAAAAAGGTATTTTAATAGTTTTTAGGCAATAAATAAATAAAGCAAGAAGTATATAACAGAGAAGCTAGAATAAACAGGTCGAAATAGTAAATTTAGTATTATCAAAATAAAAACGTTAATGTTGTTAAACATTTTAGCTATTAAATGTTACAGTAAATCTACATTATCAAAATCTACATTATTAAACATTTGAGTTTATACACTCTAAAAAATAAGGCAGAAATCAAACAAAACCAATTGCGTTGTTTTTAATAATAATTTACTTCAGATGCTATTTGGCCTTGTGTTTCCAAAAAAACAACACAGATGGCGTTTATATTGAGATATTCAAAGATTCCAAATTACCTGCGGTATTTCTAATATGCTACGTCTCTTATTTATTTATTACCTAAAAACTATTAAAATACCTTTTTTTGGTTTTTAGTCTAACATTAAAAAAAAAAAAAACTATTTTTGAAGTTTTTATTTATTATTATTATTAGTTTTTATTTATTTTTTACATTCACTTCATTTACTTTTCATTTAACTATATTTATCTTTTTTAACAATTGATTTTGCTGACAGCCACATATTAGCGAAACGTCAATTTTGAATACTTTATTAATTTATTCAAAATCCTCGTTTTAATGGATTGAAACAAACAAAATTGATCAATGATTACGTTTTGATTTTAGTTTACTTATGAATGTCAATGAAAAAAAAGTGAATACAATTTGGAATATTATTTATTCTAAATTAGCTGTACTCAAGGAAAATCATAATTTTGGAGATTTTTGTTTCGATAGAAATTTTAATGTTCCTAATTTTTGTTTAAATTGATTTTTTTTAATTATTAAAATAAATAATTTTTCCATAATTCCAAAAACCCATTAACTTTCCTACTTATTCCCAAAAAAAACCCTGGTATCTCAAATATGGACTGCACTTTCCCTTCTATAGTGAGACCAAAATTTAAAAAAATTATTCTCGTTCATAAATGGGGTATAAAAAATTGTTTGCTGGAGCCATATTTTATTTAGTGTGCTTGCATATTACGCTATAATAAGTCTTTTAGGTATAGAGAGAATAGATGCAATGTTGTGAACAAAAAGTTGGTAAAAATACAGTACAATTGAAAAGTTTTCTTTGCCTAAATAAAACAAATTTTTTTTACCTTTGTTTTAAGTTCGCTGTACGTTCCATAAACAAGTTGAGCTAACAATGGTATCTAAAAATGCACATATATATTTTTGTATCTTTTATATTCCCACTAAAAGGAGCTTAAATATATTTAATAATATTTTATACATAATAGGCAGAGCAAATATTATAGTGAGAACTATATATATATATATATATATATATTTATATATATATATATATATATATATATATATATATATATATATATATATATATATATATATATATATATATATATATATATATATATATATATATATATATATAAATTCAATAGTAGCTTTTTTAAAATTTTTATTGAGTTTAAATGACATTTTTTCAGTTAAATGTTGTTGAATGGAAAGATACACTACTTTTATGATATAGTTATAAATTATACTTATATAGTTATATACACTTATATGAATAAAGTCTTTTTTTCTTTTTCGCCAACTTCAAAAAAAAAGTTTAAAACGGCAAGTACAATAACTTTCTTAATAATAACTAGTTAAATTACCGTAGTGTTAATTGTTGTCTCCATGAGATTGTGAATTTAAAAGACTCGCAGTTTTCATAAGTTCAACATTATTTTACGAATACTTAAAATAACAAAGCTTTAACTGAAAATATTTGGCAAAAACATTCGTGCATATTTTGTTTATTTTGAAATTAAATATTTACATTTCATACATTTTATAAATTCTTATAAATGCGAGTCATTAATTTTACAAGATAAACATTTACAAATTAGTATCATAAGGCGAACAAAAAATTTTAAACGTTTTTTAAATTTTTACCTAAATTAAAGATTTGTTCTTGACGATGTATGATGTTTTTACCCGTATATATTGCAATACACTGCAAGAATAATGTGCAATGCATCTGCAATATACTGCAAGAATTATCTAATAATTAGATTAGCTGTTGTTATTATTATTATACTTATTATTAAATTATATTTTGTTTGTCGCTTATTATTAAACTTCTTATCATTGTTATCGTCATGCAACTACGCAGCAGGTTAACGTCTGCATATTGAGGGATGATCTGAATTTCTTTGTAGTTTAGATAAACTATTGCGCAACATTATCTGTTTATTTATTAATAACCATCTAAGTTATATACTGATTGTTTCCTATTTTTGTTAATTAATACACTTTATATACTCCTAAATACTAAATCAAATATTATCTATAATATTATGATTTTAAAAATGTTTGGATCAGACATAATAATTTAGAATCCAAAACATATATATCTTGGTTAACATAATGGTTAAAATATTATTTGACAATTAAGAAATTTGATTTTTATTTACTACACAAATTATACAAAATAATTAGATTTATACAACTTAAAAAAGTGAAAAAATAATAAAATGAAAAAATAATTTTTTGACACTACATAATGAATAAACATAAGAAACACAAAAAGTAAAAAAAATTCAACCAATTATTAGGTAAAATAACGAAGTTTAACAAATAATTGTAAAAATGTTACCTTGATACTTCCTTCCATAAAAATATCCAACAAGATATTGAAACAAAACACTTAAAATAAAAACATAAACACTTGTTAGAATACATTGGAAAAAGCAAGCAGGTATTGTGCAAAGTCCAGATATAAGTAGGTTTTATTATATAAATGTATTTATATGATCATGATTTAGAATATTTTGCAACATCGCGGTAATTGAAGTTAAAAGATGACATAAAATCTGTTGATGAGTTTAAATTTAGTATAATGAACTAAAACGTATGTTTTATTAACTCATTGCCCTAATATTTGAAAAAGGGGTAGCGAACTTTCTTTGGGTATATTTGTTTCCAGGCTCCAATCACAGCAATATTTTCCAAAATATTCTTTTGGACATATGCATGAACAGTTTGGAGTTTGAACAATGCCTGAAAGTATCATATCTGAAGCCTCACAAAATTCTGCCTGCGCAACCGAGTTTATCGGTGACGTAAACATATATATATATATATATATATATATATATATATATATATATATATATATATATATATATATATATATATATATATATATATATATATATATATATATATATATATATATATATACATATATATGTATGTATGTATTTAAAATACATGTAGGTATTTAAAAAACCAAGTAATTACTTTAGTGAAAAATAATAAACAGGGGTGCCGAGAACCTTCTTGGGACATCCTGATCGGCGCCCCTATTTTTCTAAATTTTCTATATTTTTCTAATTTTCTTTATAAATGATTATAGGCGCCCCTATTTTTCTAAATTTTCTATATATATGATTTTTTTTTCTTTTTTAGGAACCTTCATTTTATTTGGCGCTTTTTAGACATCTGCCACACAGAACAAACTATTCTTATGCCCCCATCTCGGTCCCTTGATAACAATAGTGGCTGTAACATGTTGTTTTTTGTATTTACAATAAAAATATGCATTAAAAATAACTAAAGAAAATATTTAGTTTTTAATCACAATTATTGTTTTAAAATTTAAATAAAGTATTATTTACAGATTTATATTTTGTCTTCAAACTAAATATTATCAAGCCGTACCTTTTTTGTAGCTTAGATTGAGGAACTTCTTGCAGCGTCAGCATCAAAATCAAAATAGGATGATAACTGAAATAAGAAATTTTGCTTTTTCAAGTCATTAATAGTGAAACAATTTGTTGTGAGTTTTACTCGATATTAAAATTATACATATTCTTTACTCCGACGCTAAACAAACACCTCACGAAGCATCAAAATTTTAAAAGCTTTCAAAAGAGTTAAAACATCAGCTTTTAATTGCACTTAATTTAAGAAGCCATTAACACATTTAAGTATGAACCTAGATATATGAAAAGTTGTTTTTACATAAAGAAAAAATGTAAACAATTTTAGTCAAAATAAGTTATTGATAGTTTAACAATAAAACTTTAAAAGTATTTATTGTATTTTTATTCAGGCTAATAATTGAACTATGCCATTTTGTTTAACATTCTTGAATAAATCACTTTTTTTATTTGTAATATATACCTAGAACAATTAATGTTTATACAATACGTCATAATACGTACATAATAAGAACTAATACAAATCTTATAATAAGATGTCTCCAGCTGTTTAAACCAGTTTTATCTCAATTATCTTTTAATAAGAGTGATGAAAAGTTATCTTGTGATATATTTAAGTTAATTTCATGTTATATATATATATATATATATATATATATATATATATATATATATATATATATATATATATATATATATATATATATATATATATATATATTTGTAAATTTCACTTCCAACAAGGCTGCAAGCAACCACAATTAGAGTTACTGAAAGAGAAAAGATAAAGTTTACAAAACAAGATGACGATTAACAGACGACTTAAAAGATTGCAAATTATATGAATTAAGAAAATAAGATAAAGGAAGCGAATTCCAAAGAACTAATGTTCAAGTAATAAACTAGACGAATAAGAATTTATGGAGCACCTAAGAGCAGTCACAGTAAAAGGATAAGACTTAACTGAATGACGAGTAACTCGAGAATGTGTTTTAGTAGATGGCACAAGAGACGCTAACTCTCTAGAGCAGCGTCCATGGTCGCATTTACAAAAAAGATAAAGATAAGCAAAATTACGACGATGTGACAGTGGTTGAGGGTTGGCTGCAAGAGTAGGCCCAACTATGTTTACAATGTGTTTTTACATCTTGACTAAAAGAGAGAGGTTATTATTCAAAGATCCGCTCCGGATACGGCAACAGTATTCCATACGAGGATTTGACATAAAAAGATGCAACCTTGGCAGATGCTAATTTTGCAATGGATTTGATATATGGTTTCTAAGAAAGATCGGAACTAAGAGTTAATTCTATAAGACAAAAGCTAGAGGACTCATCGAGTACATTACCGTTCGTAAATGTATATATTTTATTTATTTACACTTTTACCAATAAAAAAAAATCACAGTCGTAACTTATTTAACTTAACTTTAAAAATAATTACATAAACGGGGCTAAAAGAAGACAAATTTGGTCTTATCACCAAGCCCCAAAAAATGTGTCATTACTAGATAAAATGTAGTTTAACAATAAAATATAGTTTCAATGTATATATCTCTAATTAATAATATAAAAGAAAATGTAAATATATCGCTTAGCGTTTAAAATTTATAGTTTTTCAAAGGGTAAGATTGAATTTTTTTGTAAAATAAAAGAAACAAAATTCAATAAAATATTAAAATAACAAAAATAACATTTAAAAATTGGTTTGAAAAAATAAGAAAATATGATTTTATACCAAACACATTTTATTGTTAGAGAAATTAATAGTTTGACTTATTTAATTAAATTAATAATACTATTTATTGCCAATTCAGTAAAAGCAAATAAACAGTAAAAAGTAAATGTAAATGATTAATAAACAACGCGAAAGTAAAAAAAAATTCTTAAAAAAAAGATTAACATTTAAAGTAATAAAATATATGAAAATATAAAACATATGTTGCTTAATTATGTATTAATATTCTACAGTTTTTAATTAATTAACTATTATTATTGATTTCTAATTTGAAGAAGCTTTATTAGAAGAACTTTAATTCATTTTCATTTAGCGAAAGTAACTGCTTAAGTTTTGTTTTGAATTGGTTTAAAGAATAATTAGTTTTCAGTTCATTATTTCATAATCCACAACTTTGGTCCTCGGTTTACAATAGAGAATTTAATAGCGGAATAATAAGTTTTTCATTGAATGTAGTTGTAGTTTGAAAATCTAGTAGGTTATATGTGATTTATTTTTTCAAAAACTGAATAAAATAAGATTGGTAATATATTTTTATCAATTTTGAACATGAAAATAAGAACATGATAGAGGCTTAGTTTGTATACATTTCGGATATTAAGTTTATTAAATAGTGTTTGTGTTTGAGAAACGGTCTATGTTTGAAACTATCCTTATTGCCTCCAGTAAGCACATATCGTTTTTTAAACGCTTAAAAAGCGTTAAAATCCGTTTTAATAAGTTTTTCAAATGTTTTAAAAACGTCCTGTGAACCCAGTGGGCACGGAAGTAAAAAAGACGTCTTTTAAACGTTTAAAATACGTCCAAAACGTTCAAAAGACGTTCAGAAAACGTCTAAAACGTGTATAAGACGTTTAAAAGACGTCCTTTTTTACTTCCGTGCCCACTGGGAATACTGGGCTGTTTTTGTTTGCTAAGCAATTTTTTTATTTTCGTCGCGTTAGTGCTACACTAAGCAATGTTCGCATAACTTAAATAGCAATGAATAAAGGAAAAGTAAATACTTTTTAAACAAGATTGATTTAATTACTGCTTAGCTTTGTACATTAATATTATAGTCTTGATTCATTGCAACTTTTTTTAGAGGGAATACTGTTAGGGAAAATGTAATCAAATGTACCGTGATTTATATTTGGTTAGATGCCGGTTGTTTTCTATACCGTAAATATTCGACACATTCTTTCAAATTTTTTACCAATATAAATGCCACCATGTAAATAACATATAGGTTTGTACACACCAGAATTGCTTCGATTTTGAAATAATTTTGATCTATGTTTAAATTTTATCTCTCGTCTAAGAACACTCAAACATTTTAAAAACTAAAAAAATGTTGACAAATTTTTATAACGTTGTTAAGATTTTTCCTTTAAAAAAAAAATCCCCGGCGATAGCAGAAGTATTGTTAGTAATACTTATAATTTTTTTTTTTTTTGCATTAGTTTATAGTTACTTAACTAACTTCAGTTTTGTATGGGTTATTTCTAGACAAACAAAACAAAACAAAACAAAACAAAAAAACTTGTCAACAAACGAAAACATGTATGCGGAATGTTATTTGGTGACAGAATAGCTTTTTGAGAACCACTATGTTCTTAGTATATGTATAAACAAAGTATGTATAAACTCAAGTTATGCAAAGTTATAATGTTCATGCTTAAAGCAAAGCTGGTATTGTCCTAAAAATATTTCAGTTTTTCTTTTGTAAAACTGACAATAAATACTGCACAAAGTTTTTTAAGCAACAACATTGTTGTTCCAAAAAGTAATTAACTAATATTTTGGACCTTGATTGTAAAAATAGTTAGTTTCACCAGTAATAAAGAAAGTGAAAGAGATGTAATTAATATAGTTAAAGCCAAAGCCAAGTCTAACACCAAGACTAAGATAATAAACCATTATGGTTGAAATAGCGTATGTTTGTTCGATGTCCATAATATGTCCCTACACATGTTCAGACACTTGATCATCGTTCATCTTTCATCGTTTAAATGTTTTTAAAGATTGAAAATTAAGAAATATATAGAAGGTTTAGACATAACCTGCTAACCTGCAACCTGCAACTTGCAACCTGCTACAGTAACTTTCAGTAACATGCTATTGCAACATTACTTAATTCAGTGTCTATACAAATGAAAAGAAATGTGCTTAAATATATCCTTATGGGCTGTTTATACTGTTAAGACGGAGGTGCCCGGATAGCCGGTCTAGCTCACCTAGGGTCTCTATGGTTAAATCACAATATATATATATATATATATATATATATATATATATATATATATATATATATATATATATATATATATATATATATATATATATATATATATATATATATATATATATATATATATATATATATATATATATATATATATATATATATATATATATATATATATATATAATGTTATCTTATTTGAAATTTATTCTATACTCAGAAAATAAATATCTTTATATACATTCAAACTCAATACTATGAATAATATTCACTTTTTTAAGGTACAGTCTTTTCAGCTTCTATAGCCACGCCCCTAGCATCGGTGGTTTCTTGTATTTTTAGTCAACTATATTAAATTTTCAATACCTAATTGCTTTTGCCACCTAAAAATTTAAGCCATTAGCTATACTTAATGCAATAAAACCGTTTTTTATTGATTTATGCTCTGAAAATTTGTTAAAACGATGTCTACATGTACTACCCATAATTCAAAACAAAGTATTAAATCAATTAATTTGGAAAAGGTATCCTAAAGATGTATTTGTTTGCAAAAAAGTTTTAGATATTGGTGTAGCTTCTGCTGCTATTCATTTCAATGATGGGATGTCTGGTTTTTCAAATGTTTTTGAGATTTTAAATTTCATTTGGATAGCTTGGTAATTATGGTTCGTTCAAAATAGACAGCCATTGTCAACGTTATTTAAAAAGAAAATCTTCTAGAACATTTAAAAAGGACGTAAAAATGCTGGACAGAAAAAAGAGGTGTCAAAAATAAGATTTATTTTTTAAAAAAAAGGATGTTGAAGGTGGAAAATCTTACTCTCCAGAAAATTATTTGAAAAAATTTAAAGGGTTTATATTTTACTTATTTTTTGCTGACTCAGCAAAACAAAAAGTTTTTTTAATATTTTTTTGGAGTGTATTTGTTGATAAAATGATTATTCTTTTCATTTTAAAGTTATTTTAAAAGTTAGAAGCATTTATTTTTAAAACGCAGAAGTTATTTTTTTTAATCATACAGGCACCTTAAACGAGATCTCGGCATGTTTAAAATTAGCCTATAAAAATTAAACTTGTTTATATAACAAACGGGCAAGCTTGGCTAACTGAGATCTCACCTAATTTCAGTGGGATCTTACTGAGATGAGACAATTATTTCCATCAATGAGCCCGCCTTGCAGCTGATTAGATAAAATAACATTCGCTATTTATTTTATCAAATCAGACATTGAGCCGGGTGAATATAAAAAAAAGCAAATGCATCAGTAATTAGTCAGTTTTACGTAAAAAAAAATTTAAGCAATTTACCTCAAACTTTTATTCACGTAAAGCTTAGCTTGACGTAAATAAAAATTTGCAATTGCTTAGCTTGACGTAAATAAAAATTTGACCGAGTTTTATTTATGTAAAGCTGAACAATTTCTACTCCAAAAACGCTGAGTAAAACCAATTACCTATTTTTATTTACCCGGCCTATTTCCGATTGTTTTTAAAACAAACAATTTAATAATAATAAAAATACACAATTCCAATTTAAATTCCAAAGTAAACATACATTTTTTGAGACTTTTTTTTAGTCAACCTGTTTAAACAGGGGCAGCCCGGTTTATGTAAACAGCTCTATAAGTTATATTCTTCGTTATTGTGAACTACTTAAAAACAATAATTTTTGTAGTTTCATGCACAGAAAGATCCTTGCATTTTTTACATGCCGGCTCCTTTGAAAACTACATCCCCCTGTTATAATACGCTTTCTAATTTTCTGTAGTAAAGTACAACTTTAAAAAACACTCCATAAAAACAAGTGCACTATGAAGGCGCATTATCAGTACGTTACTTGTAATTCCATTGATTAAAACAACCCTTATATAAGTTTTTTTGTTTTTTTTTGTAGACAATAGCGAATAAAAAGGGTATTTTTGAAAAGCAAGGTTTTGAAAAATCTTAAAAACTTGTTAAAAGACTTACATCTTTTTATTAATTGTAACTATCTAGCATTTTTTATGAATCACAAAATTTTTTCATTAATTTACAACAACGAACTTTTAGGTTTTAACATATTTTCAAAGTAGTTAGTTCAACCAAAGAGTGATAATATAATATAGCTGGTTGAGAACGAAGTAAAAATACGCCATTATGTGGAATTCTTACTATTGTGTACGAGCGGTTATTGACGTATAGTGTTAAATACATAAAAAACAGAGACTTTTGAAAGAAATATTTTCTTATAATTTTGCATAAATCTACAAAAAAGTATCTTTATTAACACCTTATGTTTGGGATTGTGGCATCACGATGTTTAAGCAATTTTACGTAACTTTAAGTAACTTTACTTTATTGCACCATACAAATCCATGGTGGTTTTTTATGGTGTAAAAAACATTTTTAATTTAATATAAGATTACATTATTCTTTCATAATATTCGCTAAGAGTTGTCGGACGGCAGTTCAAAATGATATAAAGCTCCTCTCGCGCTTTATTCCACGGAATCGCATTCTCAATGAGTGTGTCATCTACTTCTTCGTTTACTTTATTGACAGTTTTTTTCATGCCGGTGAACTCTTGGAAGCTCATTTCCTTATAAAAATACGAAACATTGACTCGACAACAACAACACATTGTAGTGATTGCAACTTTTAAAACTATTAAGAAGGTAGTTATGATGTTAACGGGGTTAGGTGTTGATTGTATTTTAGTCATTGACCAAATAACTTTTCCTCGTAAGTATTTCCATTCAATCGATGATCGCTCATCAACTTTTTCGTAAGTATTTCCCATCATTGCAATTAATAAATTCAAAAGTATAACTATAGCTCCTGTCAAATAAATTGCAAAGACACATGTCGCAAGTGCAAACGTCTCCGCAGGGCTTTTATCAAGTCGAGATCCTTCAATTTTCGACGGTTTTTGGGAAAGCCCAAAAATAGCAAAAAACAAATTAAAAAAAATTGCAAAAAAATCATGTTTATCATCATTAAAGGGTAATGTTTCAGTTGGAATGTAAACTAATGCTTTACCATATACTGGTTTATATATAGCGCACACTTGTAACGTGAAAGCCACGACAAACAAAACAAGAACAGCAATGAATTTTAACACGTCCATTACCAGGTTGTCAATCATTACCGTCCATGGACCAAATATTTCGTGCATAGCAAGGTAATCAAATAGTTGAATAAACAAAATAAATAAAGCAAAAGCTAAAACGTTGTCTCTCGCATACATTAGGTTTTCCCGATTTTGATTTTCGAAAAAATATGCCAGAATATGGATAGATATTCCAATAGCAGATATAAAACATAACAATATCTTAAGCAGATTAAAATTTAAGTCTGTCACAGTATTCACAAACAATGCAAGAAGCCACAAAAAAAGCAACCACTCCCATTGGGTAAGGTAAGTCTAAGTTAAAAACGTTAAATAGTTTAAAACTAATAATAAATAATAGAAAAAAAATAATAACAATTACAAAAATAATAATAATAACAAATTGAAAAACATTTTAAAATATAATTTTTTATAAAGTTTCATATTACTGTTGTAAATACAAAATAAAAATGATTCATGAAATTCAACATATTGAGCTATTGCTACATATAAATCAAATAACTAAAAGCCTTATGTCGTCCTAATAGGTTCTAAAAAATTATTTTTTATAAAATGGTTGAGATAGATAGAAACAAGCTTTTTTTGGAACATAGTTCAAAACAGTTACAACTTCAACATACAATTGGTCATTGCTACCATCTTTATCAGCTTTGCCAAAGTTAAGTTGCTGTATTGCAACAAGAGTAATTAAGTCAAATTGCTGTATTGCAACAAGAGTAATATGAGTATCGATATCTCTAAAACTTTCTGTTTTAGAGATATCGATACTCATTTCAATCTATTTTTTGATTATTTTCTTTTTCAACGCCATTTATTTCTTAAGCTAATTACATAATACAACTTTATCCATAGTGATAGTATTTAACTAGTCTACAAATGCGGACCGTTTTCTATAGATTTCGTAAAATAATTTAAACTTTATGACCAAACTGAGAGTGCATCAAATATCTTTAAAATGTCTTTTTGTAGCGCATACTTAAAAAATTTGAATGAATTCGATGCTGTTTTAGCTGCTATTGAGTTGCTATTTGTTGGAGACCTCAATTTAAGTTCAAACATTAGACTACCTTATTTTATTTGTTCTAACCTAAGTGAAGAAAGAATATATATATACATATATTTTTTTTTTCAAGAAACAATGTATATCACAAGGTGACTTGCCACTTCAACGCCAACCACAAGGACAAGATTACTGATAAACAATTATTAAAGAATAAAAGAAAGCAAAGATTATTCTTCATCCTATTAGGTTTTAAAATTATTCAATCTAGATTTCAGAAAAACTTGCTTCAGATAAATGGTACTCTGCTATAAGGTGAATTTAAAAAATTTAAAATCAAGTATAAATATTTCAAGTATTTCAAGAAGAAGTCATTACAGTTGCTAGTAAAAATGTAACTAATTCATTTGATGAAAATGCTAAAATTTTTTCCCGCTGATTCTACAAAATATTTTCTAAAACTTAAATATATATTTTTTTAAATTAGCCAAAATTGTACTTTTCTTTCTTGTTTTGATGTAGCAAATCTTGTCTTAGTTTATCTGACTGGTACCTCTTTTATCAGTGATATTATAACGTTAAGGTATGTTTCCCATTACATTATCAAACAAAACATTCTATTATGACTTAGTGGGAATGTTTTTGGTAAAACTAATTTTACAATTAGTTTTAGTTCTAACAAGTCTAAGTAAATCATGAGTTTATCATATTTGCTTGCTGCTAAATATGCATGATCATCCAACACTTTATACACAAGTTCGTTGATTTTACATTGCAAAAGATAACCTGAAAGCTTTCAAGATTTAAAAAAGTCAATGTAAATTTATAATTAAAGAAGATCAATTAAAAAGCACCCTCTATTTTAGAACAAGAATATTAAAGAGAAAGTGAGATGACTACTAAAATGAACTTAGACGAACCTATTAAAATGGCTATTTTCATAGCCACATATTTTTTTTTTAATATACTTGGTATATAATTAGCTCCTTGAGTAGTAAAATGAACACTTCATGTATATTTAATAGTTTTATGGTATAGCAACTTTATAATAAAATAACAATACAAGATTGAATAATAAAAATAATATAACTGTCTTTTTATTTTTAAAATAATAATGACAACACTACTATTTTACATATATTTTACAAATAAAAAAAATATTTAGTTTTTAACAAATCTAATAACATAGTGTTTTTGGCACGACTTAATACTATATTACTACCACTTTATATTACCAGTGCAGCTAAATACATGACATTTTCAGCTACTAAAAATATTTTTTATTTTTTTTATTTTGTTATTATTGAAGCCAAAGTCATTAAATAATGGGTCATCCTTGCAAGCACTAAGTGATTGTTTGTGTCAAAAATAATTTTCAAATAAGCTATTCTATAATGTAATAAAATTTTTAATACAGCAAAAACTTATTACATAGGAAGGAAGTTAAATACTTTTTAATAAATACCTTGTCAACTTTATATGCCCACAAGTAAGTTTAGGTAAAATACAAAAGCCACTTTCTCTGTCTTCATAAAATATATAAGCAATACGGTTCCACAGTATAAACTTACCATCCTTACATATATATATTTTTTGGTATGTTTTAAGTTGGATAAATCATACTTAAATAAGACAGTAACAAGTTGTCTTATTTTAATGTGGTGGATTAGGTATAAATGAATCATTTAAAATGCCTTTTCAACTATTTGCAATTTCAGAAACATCATCGTAAGTTACAAGCAACAACTTTTAAGAAATTTTTTAATTTTTTTCTTTTTTTTTAATTAAATATTGTTTGATTTATGTATATTAGTGATAAAATATTTGGTAGCAGACTTTGCATCATCTTTATTGCATCAAGTATATATTTTTTTATTTTCTATTATATAAATTGCAATCCAGCATAAGAAAAACAACAATTTATTTACGAGCTTTTGAATTTTAGTTTAAGAAGCTTTGATATACTAGCTATTTTTAAAGTATCTATTAAAACCCTAATTTTTATTTTCACTGAATAAGTTTTTTACTTATTAATAAAAATAGAAAAACATTTTTGAACAACATTTATTGTTAGTATTGTACTTGTAAAAAAGGTAGAAGTTCTACCTCAGGGTAGAATATGCAATATTCCCTTAATATGGTAAAATTTTCTACCTTCCAAGGTAAAAAGTTATATCTTTAAAGGTAAACTTTTTTTCCCTTTTAAGGTAGAAAACTATACAACAAATCATTTCTTTTAATATAATTTAGGTAATAATTAAGATATAATTTTCTATCTAAGGGATAAAATTTTGCTGCGTTATGGGTATACCACAAATCCTACCCTAAGATAAAAATTTCTAATTTTTTAGAATGTTTTCCAGGAATAAGTGCTTTTAAACCATCTAAAATGATAAAATTGTACCTGATTTTGTCTTGTTTCCAGAAAAGATATCAACATAATGTAAAGACTGATATATAAATTATCAACTAATCCAGCTAAGTAAACTTTTTATAGAATATAGAGTTTATTAAGCTCTATTAGTTGACATTTTAAATAAACATATTCTGAATATATGATACTAAGCATTTATACCCATATACAGCCATCAATTTATACAGTCAATGAAATATTTGCATCTAAAACATATTTTCATATAGTATTTAACTTATATTCTTATATGATATAAACTATATGATTTGAATATGCATATTCATACCACTACAAACTCTGTCATGTAACTACATTTATCAACAGTTGATGTCTTTATTTTATGTTATACTCATCATTTTTATTCGGAATACGAAATATATATGAAATCCAAAATAATAACTTGAAACTGAATAACCAAACAAAACAAACACAACATGCTCCTGCCATTTCAATATTTATCCTAACAATATATGAAACTTAACTATAGCCAAATACAATGCTTACAATTTGATGCACTCTAAAGTAGGCTGAGCACTAGTATAGAAAGGAACTTAATTGTTATAAGAAAACAGCCCGCGTTTCCAGACTAATTAAATACTATGACTATGCTTTAACTTATGAAATAAATTTGTACCTAACTATAATTAGGGAGAGGAACTCAAAAATGATAGTTGAAACACGAAAAAAAATTAAAGCTTTTATACGAAAATTCAATTTCAAAATGGTGTAACACTTTTTACAAACTTTTCAATGCCCCATACAAAAAAGAAGTATATCTTGAGATGCCTAAAAGATATAATTCTGAAATTTTTAAATATAATTCTTTTTTTAAAAAACTCCTTATTACAAAAAACTGCAAGGATTTTCTTATTTGAATCTGATTTATTTGCAATGAAAGTTTTATAAAAAAGAAATTAAGAAAAATTCTTATTTAATAATAAAAAAAAAAAAAAAAAAATACATTTGTTTTTTGCACTTTTTTTAAAAAGGTTTTAGAATCTCTGATACAGTTTTAATATGCAAACTTGTTAGCACTTCACATTAAAGATCTCTATTTTATAAAACCTTCATGTTTAATGAAAGATTTAATATTTAAAAATTTTCAAATAATAATTATTTTAAAATTATTTCTTACAGAACAAAAAATAATATAAAAATATGAATGATAAAGAAAGATGTTCAATTGAATCAATAAATAAAAAAATTTGTCATAAACAAAAGGTGTGAAATCCATTGATATTAAGAAAATTTCAATCTAAAATGATGAAGAAAAAGACTTGTTAGTTAGTTGTTCTGGCATTGAAATTGATGAAAATGCTATGCTTTGCTTACACCATGAATATGTTCACTTAATACGATACTCCACAATCCATATAACTTGCTGTGATCCATTTAATTAACACAATGGAAAAAGAAAAAAAGTATTATTACTTGACCATGAAACTATTTTTAAACTTTATTGTAATTATATATAATTATATAAGTAGTAAATATCACTCGTGTTTTTAGGAGGATGTAAAGAAATTAATATACAACTTGCTGGGAAATTCAAAGACATTAGTATTATAGTTATTCCTGGAGAAAAGATATAGCCATGTAACGATTGTTACTCAAACAATTTTCTCTGGAGAATAATTTCTAATAATTGTTCAAAATAATGATCAGCGATTGCAAAATAAGTAATTTCTTTTAGAGAATTACACAGAAAATGATTGCTAAACTATTCCCTAAGGGACTAACTCCGCACAAGGAATTATCACTTAAAAGTTATAGCGCTAAACTCAATGTTGGTTGAAATATCGACACAAGAAGAGTACACAAAGTTAATATAATAATTAGTTGTAATAATTTAATATATAGAAATAAATATCAAACAAATATAAAAGCAATTTTCTTTCTTATATTATATAAGAAGACAAAACATTACAGGCCATAATGTAAAATTAAACTGATGTTATTTTAGGATGATGAACCAGGAAAACTGACTTGTTGCCATATTAATGAAAATGAAGATAATGAACTTACTAAAAAGGTATAGTTAAAATAAAATCTCAATCCTAAATGAACATAAATCCTCTAATGCTGTGAGTCCCTCACTCACTCAAGAGTTGCTCATGTTTTTTGAATATGTAAGAAATCATTATATATTCAAAAAACATAAATTACATATAACATTGAAAGCAACTAGTATTTATTTATTTTGCACTGTAGAGAAGAACTAGAACATTTGGGACAAAAATCTGATGAAATTTTAGCAGTCACATAAATGAAGGGATGCCGTGCCTTCACAAGAATTTTCACTCAAAGGAAAATGCAGAATATCACTCAAAAGGCAAGTAGTTTGACAATATCAGTTTCTTGGAGCTGAAATTAAAGGTTGAAAGGAAAGAATAGTGAACATTTTCAAGGACTTTAAATTTAGATCCTGATCAGTCAGCCAAGAAGCCAAGAAGATTCTTTCAATAAACTAAGGAAGTTAAACGTAAAGCCTATGTCATGGATATACTTTCAGGAAAAATTAAAGAAAAAATGTTAACTTCTAATTGCAGGGGTGTATCCTCTGATGTTTTCCCAGCAATTAAAATAGTTTTTATTTCTATTTGAGTTGTCGGCTATGATAACAATAAACGGTTTAATAAAAAAATGATAAAAAAATTAATAAAAAAAAGTGAAACATTATGACCTTAAAAAATATTGTTAAGTAACTTTGGTTACAAAGAGATATTAGTAAAGAGATAACTATAAATACAACATTTAAAGATTGTCATTTTGCCATAGTCTGTTGTGCGTTAGTACTTTTTGTCAGCCTTAACAAAAGTTTCATTATGTGAAGCAAAAAAGGTGAAAGCCAAATCTCAAAGAAATGTTTTATATAAAAAAAAAAAAAATTCAATTATTCTCTCTCAATCTTTAATCAAATTAATTAAGTTGAATGTTTTAAACATTATGTATTTAATGTTTTAAACATTTTTTATTATACTTCTTTTTTGTTTTTTAGAAAAAAAAAACTTTCATGTGCATTCTATTAATTGCATACTAATAATGATTCTTCACGTGCATCTTAATAATGTTTTTTATTTTGTAAATTTTGTTCGACAAAGTTAAATAAAAATTTATTTTACTAATTTAAAACAAAAGAGATTAAGTGTTATTAATGATTCAACTGCCCATTTGCATGATTCAAAATGCGACTATAAGGTTTAAAAAATTAAACATTAGCGTTTGAAATTAAAAGAAAATGTAATTTTAAAACTCATTTGAAATTGAGATGAAACGTGCTTCAAAATGCAACAACAATGTTTAAAAAACAGTACAGTCTTACTTCAAAATATTAGATCACGTGTCTTTTTATAAAATTGAATAAATTTATATAACACTCTGTAGTGTACTCACACTCTGTAGTGTACTCATTATTAAACAAAACTACTTTAAATGCTTTTTAAAGTTTTCTTTTAATTAACCCCAAGGAATTAAATCTTCATAGATCAAAATGTGGTTTTATTAATTAATACATTTTTGTAAGTAACAAACTGTCTAGTTGTCCTGCCGGGCTACTGACTGGCAGTTTTTAAAAATTTCAGTCGCCCTTGAATTCAAACGAGTTGTCCCGTGCCATATGGCCATGAGGGTACACAGCTGAATTGGAATCAGAAAATTCTATTATTAACACTGGTTCCAATATTTTTTTCTAACAAATATATAAAAAAAGAACTTAATGGTACTAATTATATAGTGCAGATATCACACAAACTGCTGCAGAAAAATAGTATTTTATTTTTTCCTGAAAGAAAAAAAAGGAAAAGAAAATATCTCATTTGTATATATGTGCATTTACTGTATGCTAAATTTAAAACCAGTTGTGCTGATATAAAGACTTGTTTTTCTAACTTTTGCTCAAATTGTTTTAAATGGTGCTTTGCAGTAAAAACATCTGGTAGGTATATAGTATGTGTGATCACACACATACTGTATTCGTTTTTACCATCAAAATGTTAAGTTAGTGATCAGCAAAGTTGAATTATCAAAGGTTTTTTCACAAACCTATTGATATGCTTGTTTGCAGTAGGGCTAACAAGGATTGTATGATACATCATTGTCCTTTATGTCTAGAAGATTAAAGCATTATCATGAAAATGAGTTCTACTCTCAAGAAGATATTGATAAAGATGATAAATATTGTATAGATTACAAACAATGGAAGACAACAGACTGATCTGAGCTAGTAAGTCTAACAGAAATCACAAGTAGCTTCATTAATTCTCTAATAAATAAGTTACAAAAACCTAATGTTCATTTTTACATTGCAAAAGTCACAATTGTTTTTTTAAGGACACTAAAAAAACGATTTAAGTAGTACTGAGGTCTAATGTGATTTCTCAGAAAATTATGAGTTTGTTGTACACATTTTTCACTGAACATATTTTTCACTGGACGCATTTTTTACTGGAACAAAATTTAAGCAATATTGTATCTAACAGTCACTTATTATAAAGTAAATAATGTCTTCAAATGTGATTTAATATGTTTCAGATGATTTACTGTATGACGTAGATATTGTATATCATGCAATGAAGTTAACAATTAAACATATTAAAAACAATATTCCTCATCAAATAGAAATTGTTTATTACTTTTCAGATAGGTGGGCTTGCCAGTACAAATATTGCAAACATTTCATAAATATATGATACTGTGAACAAGATTTTGCTATAAAATGTACATGGTCTTTCTTTTCAACAAGTCTCAGCAAAGGCATTAGACCGTAAAAAAAATAACTTTAATTGCTAACCTTCATCAAACAACAACAAACCATAAAGACAACAAACCATATACTAACAGCATCTTCAATGAGTTTTTTTTGCCAAAATGAAATCAAAATTTTAGATTTATTTCAAAATGAAATCAAGATTTTAAAAAAATAAGTGAGGTTCAAGTTCTTCGGCATTGCAATGTATCATACCCAAATACATAAGTAACTTTTAGAAATCTTACAATAAACAAAAACAAGATTTTTGTGCATTTAAAACTTTGAAATATTTGCAATATTAGCATTTAAAAAACTTCATTTAAAAGTCTTAATGTGAAAACAAAAATCATAAATAAATGCAAAATATATTTATGTTACATTTATACATATATTTATATATATTTAGGCATTGATCGATTATTAGAGGTAAAGTAAAATAAATCTTTAAAAATGAGGAACCAAAAGCTAGCAAATTTACTGTTTTAATAAAGTAGAAGAGCAATAACCCCCTTGCCCTAACTCCACACACTTCCTAGCTTCGTAACTCCACACACTTCCGCTACCACTAAACTATAATTAAAAAAACTTAGTTATAATATTTAAAAAATAAGTGTAATCATAAATAATAAGTTATAAACGTGTTGCTGGATTTTATTGTATTATAGAACAATATTGATGAAAAATATGATAATTTAATGAATTAATACGATAATTCAATGAATTAATATCTTTTATATTCTAATGCTTGCACAGCAGTTAAAAATTTGTATTAGTAAAATATTTTTTATACAAAATCTGTAAAAGAATAATTTCTCATTTACCTCTAAATATGAACGATTCCATGGGACAACAATAACTAAAGATAATATGATTATGAAGTAGAGATGAGATATAATGTGACAAATAAATTTTATGGTTAGCATCTTGTTCCAACGATGAAAAGGAAGACAAAGAAAAAACCAAATTGGTGGACAAAGGAAACAAATAACAGCCAGTAAAATTGAAAATGCACCTTCAATTGGCATGCCATTTCCTAAAAAGTTATAATATGTGCAACTTTTAATACTAATTATTAAAAAATAATAATTATTATTATAGAGTTAATACTCTAGGATAATAACCAACCTTTCCAGAGATCAGATAAATAACTTTGAACATTACTGTGAGCAATACATTCCTTAAATTTATTATCAATCATGACATCAAGAAGAGGCTGCTTTGCATTATCAATAGCATTGAGTAGTGCCTCACATTTGAAACTTGTTGCTACATGCAGAATTTCATAGGTCATATTCTGTAATAAAACACATAAACTGCTAATAATATATATATATATATATATATATATATATATATATATATATATATATATATATATATATATATATATATATATATATATATATATATATATATATATATAAATGTATATACATAAACAACACCTAAATAACAACAACAACAACAAATTTAGAAAAAACAATGTTTTTAGACTATATAAGAATCAGTCTATCTGGCCTATTTAGTACAGAAGGTTCATTAGAGCCTGATTCACAGAGGGGGTCGATAATGATGACTAGTTGAACAAACTTTGTGTTTTCTGTATAATGTTTTGTTTTAACTGAATTTTGTCTATTATTTTGATTTTAACCGCTTATAGTAATAATTAGAAGTTAAATATGAACTTGTTTTTTTTTTGTTTATGCAACACAATGATCGCAAAAAGTGACCAACAGAGCTGTCCAGTTTCGTAGACCTGAGAGATATGATAATAAAAACAGTTAGAAGATGGTGTCATCGAATAAAAGATAAAAATCATAAGAAAATAAAAAATGAGTGATAAGACTTTTGTGAAGGTGAAGAACAAAGTTAAATGGTCGGGGGGCAGGGGGAGAACCAACTAACACTCTAGTCACACTGTGATACAATACATCCAGCAGGATAGCCTAATGTCTGTTTTCTCGTTGTGGTGTACATTGGAAAAAGTCGGGGCTCACCAGCCACAAAATAATTTTTTTTGTGTATGTAACACAATGATCGCAAAAAGTGATCAACGGAGCCGTACAGTTACGTAGACCTGGGAGATATGAAAAATAAAAACAGATTGAAGATGATGTCATTTAGGTAAAAAAACAAATTAATGTAAAGACTATTTAGAAGGAGGAGTAAAAGTTAGCAACTCAGGAAGAGAAGAACCATAACTCACACTCTAGTCATCTTTAGCAAATTGCAAAGCAATGATCTATGAGTAAACAAGTCAATAAAAATCCGCTGGTTTATTAATAGTATCCATAACTAAAATAATTGCACCATACAAATGTCTAATAAATGTGGTACTACATATTGTCCAAACTCTAGATAAAAAATTGAGAACTAATAATCACCTGTGTAACATAAAAATACATAAATATCATAAATATCAACAAATTCATAATAAAAAGCTCACAAAGCGCAAAAATTCATTGGTGTAGAAGGTAAAAAAATGTTGGTGCCATAATAACCAATTAGAATTAAGTAGTGGATAACTGGTGATTCCCCTTCTCAGGAATGCACTGCAATCACCAATGATATTTCGGAGAGTCTGAGATCTGTACTAATGCCACTCGTCAGGGGCGTGTCCTTGCCACAGATCTCATTGCTGTTTTTTTCATATATAATTATGTATTAGTTATGAATACCTTCAATATACATATATTTACTTGAAAATTGTATAATTAAATGTAATTTTTTTAGGCGGACACTAGAATTAAATTTTTAAAAATTTGTTTTAGCATTAACTAATAATAAAAGTATTAAATAAAATGGGTTGTACTCCAAACAAAAAAAAAAAAAAAAAAAGAAGGCCGAGAAGAGAAAGTACAGCATGTCAATGAATCCAAGGAGACTGCTGTATCTTCTAAAGTACACAATCAATGAGCTTTCAATAAACCAGCTAGCAACCATCGGAAATATTCTGAGTTCTTCCAAGTAGAACAAATAATTTTTTTTTGGTATATATAAATATACTATAAAATAATGATATAATTTAAAAATAGTCTATTTTATACAATACATATTTAATATAATATCCCCAAACTGTTTCAAATGAGACACAATGAGGCAAAAATTTATGTTAGGACAAAATAGCCATAAAGATAAACACTTGTCTATTTTTATTTTAGATCAATAAGTTATTAATCTACAAAGTTGATAGCAGCCTGCCCTCAGAAGCATGAGAACAGGGATCTGATCTGCAAAGATAATTTCTGCAAGAATTCTGAGCAAATATATGTTGCCTAGGCTGTAATAGACACTTGGAAGAATACAGGCTTTCAAGATTTTATTATCAGTGAATCCAGTGTTGGGGATAAGATACTGAAGCTCCATAATAAGTACATAAATTTCTATTATCTCAAATCATTGAATTAGAATTCTAGCAATAGCAACTCCTCTAAGATACAGAATAAATGTTTAGAGGAGAGTAATAGACTCTTAGATACTTCATTGGCAAATTTTGAACAAAAAGTAAATCAGGATCATTTTCGTTCTGAGAATGCCAAAAAGGAGGATATTAAGTTTTTTATTATTAAATGGATATTAAGTTCTATCTAGATCAAAAAGGAGAGCAAAACATGTATATTACAGAAGAACTGGATGAAGTGTTACAAAATTTAGTTAAAAATAAAAATATTTGGCGATGGCAATAAAATATTATGAGGATGGAGGAAGCATGAGGTAAAGGTAGTATCACAATTAATACAGTATCACAATCCAATGAACCTGAGGCTTCTTTTTATTTATCTGGAATTGATTCTGAATCGAAACTTAGTTTAGATTCTTCAGATGATGAAAATTTACCTAATAATTCTACTAAATCTAAGATAATGATAAGTATAAGTGCTGAAGATCTGGTAGACTGTACTGCTTCAGGTTCTGTCCAATACAGAGTAGGTATACACCCACAAACTTCATTAGTAGCTGCTATTTGCAATAAAGCTGGTGTAAATCTAGAAGATATTAATCTATTAAGAAGTACAGTTCATAAAAAAAAATTCAAGATGATTGAGATATTAGAAGATAAACTCAGGCAAGAAATTATAACTACTCTGAAGGGAAAAAAGCTTTGTGTTCATTTTGATGGAAAAAGATAAAACAGATTGAAGAAGATCTAAAAATAACTGTTTCCGTAGAAAGAATAGCAATCAGTGTTACAACCCTTGATATGGATGACACAGATGACATACTGCTAGGTGTCATTCAGACACCAAGTTCTAAAAGTGACCAGGCTGAAGCAATTTTGAAATGCTAGAATACTATGACATTGTAGATCAAATATTTGCTATTTGCTGTGACATTACTACATTCAATACTGGAATACACTCTGGAGCTGTTGTTATCCTTAGCTCCATTTATAATATTCCACTTACATGGTTTCTCTGTAGAAGACATATGCTAATTGTATCTCTGGCTGATGAAGATGTACAGCAAGAAGTGTCTTTTAGCAAACAATGGAATTTTACATATCGCTGAAATTGTGGTCTGACAATGTTTTTTTATCTAAATTTGCAATCAGGGGGCACTAGAGAATGGGAAAAATTGCGCGCACATAGAAAATCTAATGGTGTTCCTCAGGGTTCAGTATTGGCACCACTGCTTTTTCTTCCTTATATTAATAATCTTCATAAATCCATTAAGCTTGTTACTGTTTACCACTTTGCTGATGATACTAATTTAATGCTAATTAATAAATACTTTAAAAAAATTAACAAACACATTAACCATGATCTTGCTAATCTAGCTCAATGGCTTTGCACCAAAAACTTTTTCTAAACTCTAATAAAACTGAACTTGTTATCTTTAAATCAAATAAAACAAAAATCTATAAACATATGAACTTTTGATTAAGTGGCAAGAAAATTGAAACTGTTAACTCAATTAAATATCTTGGTATAAAAATTGATTTAAATCTTTCCTTTTTATCCCACTGTAAAGACTTAGCAATGAAGCTAAGTAGATCTAATGGTATATTAGCCAAAGTTTGCCATTATGTTTTTCTTGAAACACTCTTGAACATATACCATGCTATTTTTGGCTCACATCTTAGATATGCATGCCAAGTATGGAAGCAGTCCCATCAACAAGCTCTTATTAGGTTATCCCACCTCCAAAACAAGACTTAAAAAAATTATTGTAATTTTTGCTTTACTTAAAACACCAAAGATATTGTTAGGTCATGAAATCTTGTATTTTATCACAAAAATTAGACTCTTGTGACTTCTGGAGAATCTTTAGCAGTATCAATACTAAGGACAAATCTGTTATTATACCTCTCTTGTATGGTTCAGACCTCACCTAAAGACAAAGCTGGATTGTTTGCTAAGAACTTTTTATCAATATCATTTCTTGATTCTACTAGTTCTATTCTACCTGATAAAGGCGTCAAACAGATTGATCCATTGCTTTGTATTTGTATTACTCCAGTCTCTGTATCTAATGTCATTTCCTGATTAGATTCTTCTACAGGTCCAGACAACATACCTGTTGAAGTTTTGCAGAAGTGCTCTCTGGAGCTGTCATCCATCCTTTCAAAACTATTTAACAAGAGCTTATTGGAGTCTTGTTTTCTGGCATGCTGGAAAGGGGCATCTGTTATCCCTATTTTCTAAAATTCTGGAGAGCGATCTGACTTGTTTAACTACTGTCCCATTAGTCTTCTTCCTATCATAAGCAAGGTTTTTGAATCTTTAATTAACAAACACTTAATCTCTCATCTTGAATCTAATAACTTACTTTCTAATCATCAATATGGATTTTGATCTTCTCGTTCTACAGCTGATTTGCTAACAGTAATAACTAATAGGTTTTATCGTGAATTAGATAAAGGTGGAGAGGTTAAGGCTATTGCTCTTGACATTTCTAAAACTTTTAATAAAGTTTGGCATACTGGTCTTCTCCATAAGCTTTCTTCTTATGGTAACATCTTTAAGATTATCGAGTTCTTCCTTTCTAATCATAGTATAAAAGTTGTCCTTGATGGACAGCACTCTTCTCAGAGTGCTGTCTCAGGGGTTCCTCAAAGTTCAATCCTTGGACCTATACTCTTTTTAATTTAAATTATTTCTTCCAGATATTCTCACTTCTAAGTTAGTATTATTAGATTTTCTTATAATTATGAATGGTAATGTACTTGATGAGTCATATAACTTTCATCTCCTAAGATTAACTCTTCCAATCTTTCTTGGAAACCATTGCAAAATTAGCATCTGCTTAGGTTGCATCTCTTTATTTTGCTTGACACTTTCTTACTCGGGATTCTATTCTTTATCTCTATAAATCATAAATCCATCCTTGTATGGAATACTGTTGCCATATCTGGGGCGGATCTTATAATGATACCCTTTCTCTTTTAGACAAGGTGCAAAAACGCATTGTAAACATAGTTGGACCTGCTCTTGCAGCCAACCTCCACCCATTATTACATCGTTGTAATGTTGCTTCTCTTTCTCTTTTCTACAAATTCTATAATGGGCGCTGCTCTAAAGAGCTAGCATCTCTTGTGCTATCTATTAAAATTAAAATTCATTCTTGTGTTACTTGTCAATCAATTAAGTCTTGTCTATTTTTGTGACTGTTCCTAAGTGCTCCAAAAACTCCTGTCTAGTTTTTTTTCTCAAACAACAATTTTTCGGAATTCTCTTCCTTCATCTTGCTTTCTTGATTCATTTTATTTGCAATCTCTTAAACCATCTGTCCATCGTTATCTTGCTCTACAAACTTCATCTTTTCTTTTCCAGTAACTTCCAACTCTAATAATGGTTGCTTGCAGCTTTGTTGGAATCGAAGATGTTAAAAAAAAATATTATTTCCAGAATAATAATTTTAATCCTAATGTGCTCTACCTAACTTCTGGAATATTAAAACTACGTGACTATATTCAACTTTTAAACTGCCATCACCAACACAACAACCTACCTTTAACTTTCATCAATTTCTTTTCCAAAAGTGCTAACATTTGTTATTAACTTTGTTCCAGTAGAAATTTAAAACTGTCTGTCTCTAAACACTGCTTTGATATAAAATATCAAAGTATTAAATCTTAGAACAACTTTCCTTATGAACTAAAAGCTCTCAATTCATTCTCAACCTTTAAAACCAGTTTATTTTACTTTTTATTAAAAAAATACAGGTAATATTTATAATTTCTATAATCCAATTTATGCTTATACGGAAATTTACTTTTGAATAATCTTAAAGTTAATAACAATTGCATTGTAAATAAATCCTTAGTGGTTGAAACACTTATTCAGTTTTTTTGTAAATATAGGTGCTATTTTATCATCAAATATAACAATTTCAGTTTTGCAATTTCAGCAATTTTAACATTTTAATTCTTACACTACCTCAAACAACATTAGTGTTTTGACTCATCCTAAACTTACGGAAAAAGAATTATTAGAGCCGTCTCTTTTTTAAAGCCCAATGAAAGTGTAAGTTTCAATGCTATAAGTTGAAATGTTGTTATAAAACACATCACAATTCCATTATTACATATTTTTAATTTATCTTTGAAACATGGTGTTTTTCTAGAAAACCTAAACATTCCAAAAATTATTCCAATTTTAAAATCAGACGATCATATGTAAATTACATTCTTTACCATAAACAATTTGGTTTAAAATCTAGGCATTCCACCGATCATGCAATCATTCACCTTTTTTAAGACTAAATCATTTAATGAAAGCAAGAATGCTCTAAGTTTATTGATTTAAGTAAAGCTTTCAATACAGTCAATTATCAAATCCTTCTATCTTAACTCAAAAGCTAAGTTTATTGATTTAAGTAAAGCTTTTAATACAGCCAATTATCAAATCCTTCTATCGTAACTCAAAAGCTAAGTTTATTGATTTAAGTAAAGCTTTCAATACAGTCAATTATCAAATCCTTCTATCGTAACTCAAAAGCTATAGTATAAAAAATACTAACTTGTTCTGGTTCGAGTGCTATTTGACTAATAGGAAGCAGTATATAGTATACGATGAAGGATAAACTAATTATGAGACAATCAAATGTGCTGTTCTTTAAGAATCAATTTTAGGACCACTTTTATTTCTCATTTATATAAACGATTTAAAAAAATATTCTAACATTTTAAATATAATTTTGTTTGCAGATGATACCAGCTTGTTTTATTCCAATAAAGATATCATTATATTACTTCAAACAGTAAACAAAGAGCTAGACAAACTAACCCATTAGTTTAAATTAAATAAATCATCTTTAAATATTACTAAAACAAAACAAACTTTATTCAATTGTCTACATAAAAAATCAGATATTCCTTTAGAACTTCCAAACCTTTTTATTAATAATAAATTAATTAAGAGAGATAAATCAATAAAGTTTTTAGGCATGTTTTTAAACAAAAATATAACCTGGAGGAACATATAGGTGTTGTTGAAGATAAAATATCAAAAAATTTAGGTATAATGTACAAAGCTATGCAGTTGTTAAATCAATCTTGTTAAAAAACATTTACTTTTTTTATTCATTGCTACCTAAGTTATGCAAACATTGCTTGGTGCAGCACTAACGTGACAAAAATAAAAAAATTGCTTAGCAAACAAAAACAGGTTATAAGGATAGTTTCAAGCATAGTTCGTTTCTCACACACACACAGACACTATTTAATGAACTCAATGTCCTAAATGTATATAAACTAAACCTATATCATGTTCTTATCTTCATGTTCAAACTTGATAAAAATATATATATAACTAATTGATAAAAATCTTATTTTATTCAATTTTTGAAAAAATATATCACATATACAATACTAGGTTTTACAACTACATTCAAAATCAAAAACTTTTTATTTAAGTATGTTAAAAATCTTTAGTTCTAATAATATTAATAATCGTGCTTTAAACAAATTGAAAAAATTCATCACCTATACCCTTCTAGATTTTCAAGATACTACTAAATTTAATCCAAAACTTATTATTTACTACTAATTATTACTATTTATTACTAAATCTACTATCTACTAAACTTACTATTGTAAACCGAGGACCAAAGTTGTGGAACATAATATTAAATAATGAACTGAAAACAAATTATTCTCTAAACTTATTCAAAACAAAACTTAAGCAATTTTTTTCATTAAATGAAAATGAATTAATGTTCTTCTAATAAAGCTTCTTTAAATTAGAAATCAATAATAATAGTTAATTAACTAATTACTGTAGATTATTAATACATAATTAATCAACATATGTACATATATTATATTATTTTAAATGATAATCTTTGAGAAATTTATTTTTACTTTTGCTTTGTTTATTATTCATTTACATTTACTTTTTACTGTTTATTTGCTTTTACTGAATTGGAAATGAATAGTATTATAAATTTAATTAAATAAGTTAAACTATAATATATAATTATATAAAATCATATCTTCTTATTTTTTTAAACCAATTCTTAAATGTTATTTTTGTCATTTTAATATTTTATTAATTTTCATTTTTTTTTTATGTTTTATAACTGTAAATTATGACTGTAAATTTTTTTTTATAAGCAAAAAAAAAAAAAAGTGTAAATAAATTTATTGTTGTCATTATCACTACTTTTATTATTATTGATGTTTACTTAATATTAGTACTCATTACTATTTATAAAAATCCTTATTATAATGTAACAACTTTTATTCAGAAAAAAAAATGGATGTAACAACTGACTGATAAACTTCACAAAAATAAACTTTTTTACAAGTAAAAAGAGAATGAAAGAGATGATAGCTCATTTAAGTCATTACTTTTTGTTCATTTAAAAACAAAATAAAAATACAATAAAAGGTAGAAAGATTTACTTCACAAAAATCTGCCATTTCTATATAATCTTGACTTTTATCTTTGATTCTCAAAGATTCCTCTCGGTACATCAAAGTTAATTGAATTGCTGTATAAATAGGTGCTGGTGAATTTAAAATGAAATCTTGTACAGACTTGTTGTTGCTTAATTTGCAGCAGATCATTAAATGTTCTAAAAACTAAACAAACATAATATCTTTTTAAATATTACTAAATTTGCTAAGAAAAAACACAAACAAAAAAACAAAATGTATGAAAAAAATGAAAAAACAAACACTTAATAGATAACTAAAAACATAAAAAATAAATTAAATTTTTACGCTTTTATCTTTTAATAAAATCCCAACATCAAATTTATTGAGCATAAGAAATGACATCACCTCTAGATGTTGTTTTTTTGCTGCAAATGTAATGGGTGATTTACCTTTCTAGAATAAAAACAAAGTATATATGATGATAATAATAAAGAAATTGGTCATCATTATCATCATCATCATCACCATCATCATCATCATCATCATCATCATCATCATCATCATCATCATCATCATCATCATCATCATCATCATCACCATCATCATCATCGTCATCATCATCTTCATCATCATCATCATCATCATCATCATCATCACCATCATCATCATCGTCATCATCATCTTCATCATCTTCATCATCCTCATCATCATCATCACCATCATCATCATCATCGTCATCATCATCTTCACCATCATCATCATCATCGTCATCATCATCATCATCATCATCATCATCATCATCATCATCATCATCATCATCACCATCATCATCATCACCATCATCATGCTTAAAAAACTGTATTGTATAATTCTAGGATACAGATATCTATATTATCGAAAATGTACATAGGGATGAGCTAAAAAAAAAGTTAATATACTTGGTAGTAGACAAACATTATTCTTAAATTAATTTTTATTAAACCAGATTTCAAAATCCAAGTAAATTAGAATTTCTTCTTTAATTAAGACCTTATTTAACCAAAATAAAATTCTGTTAAAAAATTCACAAAGTAATGATTTTATAAAAATTTAATTAATTTTAACATGAAACACAACTATCATGAGATTAACTAAAACACTAGCAAACAACATTAATATATAAAAAATATGTCCCACCTATTATAAACACAACCAAAGCAAGCTCTTGCTTAATAACAAGGCAATCTATTAAAAAGTTGATTTTAATCAATATTTTATCAGTACCTTAAGTTTGCATAAAGTTAACACTAGAAGCCAAAGCTGTTTAAATAAGTCAAACTAAAATTCTGAAATCCTTTTTTATATTTTTTATTTCAGAATTTATTTATTATGAACTTAAAAAATTATTTATTATGCACTTATTTTATTATATGGGTGCACAATAAAAAACAAACTTAAAATTTCTATTTAACCAGTTAACAACTTTCTCTAAACTTATTTAAAATTAATTAAAACTCATTACAAAATGTAATTTTTGATCTCTAATTTTAAAATTGTCTTTACCATTTTTAAGCTTTAATTTCTTTGCATAAAATGATTATTTTTTAATTTCAATGTATTACTGTTTTATTAGTAAATCATTGAAATTAAAAAATATATCTTTTTACTGTCTTTACTTTTATTAGAACTCATTTATTTATAAAAACATTTATGCAAACAGCGTTAACATTGATCAGTCTATCCTAATTTACCA